TACATGGGTCTGTGTGCGAGTGTTATAATCCAGGGTCTCTTTTGTCTGGACTCTGGTTTGTTTGCTTGCTTTAAGTCGTTTTCAAGCCATTCGTATTGCCATTTGATATGCGATTCTGTGAAGAATTGGGGATAAAAGTAGTGCTCAGACGAGAAGAGTACAAAGTGTGCGGAACCCATGTCTACGCTATAGTAATGATTGTTCAGTCGCTGTGTCGCGAAGTCAACCATTGAAAAGCGATTCATATAATGAGTGAAATTTCTGGATAATCACACAAATACCGCATATTATGATAATTATGTAACTATTATTTCCAGATATAAAATTAAACAGTAATTTATGGCACCTTTTCTTCTCATGATTTCCCGGACACACCTGATAGGGAACGTTAGCTGCAATCGGTTGGATGCTATTCATAAAGTCATCCCCAACTGATCCACCATCCTATTGGCGCATATCATAATTGCCATTTAATTAGCGTATTACATAAATTCACAGTTCAGTACTTACACTGTTCAGATTGTATGCAATATCGCCTGCAATAATAGATATCAATTGATAATAGAGATTATATTTACAATTTTTGATCATTAGTTTTCATAATAGACTGCAAACCGATGTGAAATACGGTGTCGTAAAGTCCTTTCTCGACATCTTTTATCAATTGACGAGTCGACACACCATTCTTAAGACCTAGATCACCATAAATGGCCACTTTTAATGGTGTATCTGGATTGTGGACTTTGAATGAAAAGACATTGGACCAAATGTTGTCGGCTTTACATCTGTACTCTAGTCAAGTATAATTCAATTTATAAAAATAGTTTGTACAATATTGAAAGTATGATAGTATACCATAAGTAGCACCCGGAATGAGATCATTTAATTTAGCTCGATGAATATAAGCTTTATATTTTTTGTCTTTGAAATATGTCACCTTTGAATGTTTGATTTGAAATGCCTGTCCACCAGTTTCTCTATACGCTACCAACGAGTCGTCGGTACTTTTAAATGTAGTGAATGTGACCATAATTTCATTTGGATTTGCTGTCAATTTATAGACTTATTATGATTGAACATTGAAAATACAATACAATATACCGAGTGATAGATGTATTTGTTCGGGTCCTTTGGGTTTGCCATCATTTAGATAAATATTAATAGCAATTATTACTATATTAAACACAAACTTCATTTTTAGAATATTTTATTAAATAATAAAACTAAAAATGAAATCACAAACATTTATATATTCATAAAATATAAAATCGAAATTTGTTATTCTCTGAAAACTCCTCATTTATATTGTAAGTTATTACAGTAAAGTATAGATTCTATACTATAGAATATTTTCTAAGAATTTTTTTTAAAAACAAATAATTCATTGCTAATACAGTATATAAAAATACCATATATTACTTAATGTATTGGTAATTTGACAATTTATGCTAACATTTACGAATTTAAAGATTATTTTTCAGAAAATAATACTGTACAGGTAAATTACCTGAAAGCCAGTCTTTTGTTATTGAGGTTCCAGGAATTTGTTTTTATAACAAAGCATTATGGCTTAAATTCAATGTCATTCAATATACTGTATATAATTTGAACATAGAGTTGAGTATATAAAAGAATATAGTGCTTTAAAATAAATTATATGCATTAGCTTTTAAAATATTATATATTAGATTTTTTATTCTAAATAATAAATATAAAATATTCATAAGGGGCCATTCAATCAATAAGTACATATGCAAAAATTTGTCTAAAAATTCACCCCTCCCCTACACGCCCATCGTTCATAGGACTTTAACATTGTGTACGCATGCCTTGGTTGACCCCCCTCCACCACCCACCAAGTGCATACGTACTTAATGAATGATCCCTAATAGAAATTTTTACTATTAAATAGGAGTTATTTATTTTTACCTTAAATTGATATTTAAAATTCATATATAATATATTATATATAGTAATTGTTTGATTTTAATTATATTACTTAAATGTTACGGTAGTTAATTAATCTACTGTATTAAAATAGTAAATATAAATAGTGTGAGAATTTATTTTATAAAATTTAACAAGTATTATAATTTATAAAATTTAACAAGTATTATAATTTATAAAATTTAACAAGTATTATAATTTATAAAACTCTTCCATTGTATGTTAAAATATTAATTTTTAAATTTATGTTTTGGTAAACCTAAGCAACAATAACACAAATAAGTTCTGTTTAATGTATACAATAATGTTACCTGAATATTGTTTAAAACAAAAACATATTGAAAACCAGTTGGTATTAAATTAAAATAATGTTTATTTATTGTCAAATTTTAAAAATAATTTATAATAAATATAATGATTATAATAATATTTACAATATATACATATGTTTTAATTAAGATTTACTTAATTTATGGAAAATTTTGTTTATCCTTGATGATTGCAAAATTGTCGACTACTTTGTCCTAAAAATTGGAATTACAATTGGAAATAAGTAAAAAAAGGATTTCATAAAATGTTTTACAAACTTACATTTTCAGTAGAGTACTGTTCAATGAGAATATGTGTCTTATTTTGTACATTCATTCGCGTATATCCATAGTCTCGGGCATAAAATGCTGTCCAATCGGGCAACTCTTTTAGTGCTTACGTACTTAATGAATGATCCCTAATAGAAATTTTTACAATTAAATAGGAGTTATTTATTTTTACCTTAAATTGATATTTAAAATTCATATATAATATATAATATATTGTAATTGTTTGATTTGATTCATATTACTTAAATGTTATGGTAGTTAATTAATTGACTGTATTAAAATAGTAAATATAAATAGTGTGATAATTTATTTGATAAAATTTAACAAGTATTATAATTGATAAAACTCTTCAATTCTATGTTAAAATATTAATTTTTATATTTATGTTTTGGTAAACCTAAGCAACAATAACACAAATAGTAAACACAAATGTTTAATGTATAAACTAATGTTACCTGAATATTGTTTAAAACACAAACATATTGAAAACCAGTTGGTATTAAATTAAAATAATGTTTATTTATTGTCAAATTTTTAAAATAATTTATAATAAATATAATGATTACAATAATATTTACAATATATACATGTGTTTTAATTAAGATTTACTGAACTTATGGAAAATTTTGTTTATTCTTGATGATTGCAAAATTGTCGACTACTTTGTCCTAAAAATTGGAATTACAATTGGAAATAAGTAAAAAAGGATTTCATCAAATGTTTTACAAACTTACATTTTCAGTAGAGTACTGTTCAATGAGAATATGTGTCTTATTTTGTACATTCATTCGCGTATATCCATAGTCTCGGGCATAAAATGCTGTCCAATCGGGCAACTCTTTCTTTAGGCTGGGTCTGTCTGTAGTTCCCTATTGTGCATAAATACATTTATTTTAAAAATGACCATGGTTAAATGATTTGCAAGTCTAACCCCAACTCCAGTAATTATATGAATGGGTGCCTTTGGATTGGTGTAGACATCGGTGCCTTTGTATGCTTTAGAGTCGTATATGGGATACGATCTCTCGTACATATGTTTGTGTCCATAAAATTGAATATCGACTCCATATCTATAAAACAGATCTTCCAAACCATAATGGGTTACGAGCTTCAAGTCATCACCGCTTCTACCCTTTCGGAGCTAACCATTTGAATAAATTTATTACATAAATATATTTTGTAAACTAATAAAATTGCAAAAATATCTTACAATGGATTCGTGTTCAAAGCAATCCTCATCGTTATCTTTAATGCAATACATGGGTCTGTGCGCGAGTGTGATAATCCAGGGTCTCTTTTGTCTGTTCTCTGGTTTATTAGCATCTTTCAAATCATTTTCAAGCCATTCGTATTGCCATTTGAGGTGATGGTCAGTGAAATAATCGGACCAAAAGTATAGCTCAGACGAGAAGAATATAAAGTGTGCCGAACCCAAGTCTAGGCTATAGTAATGGTTATGCATTCGTTGACTCTTGAAGTCAATCATTGAAAAGCGATTTATATAATGAGTGAAATTTCTGGATAGTTTAGACATCATTTTGGATGTTAGTCAACTCATAATTATCTCATTTTAATATCAATTAATCGCTTATACCTCTTGTCTTCATGATTTCCTGGACACACCTGATAGGGAACGTTAGCAGCGATATCTTGAATCTCATTCATAAAGTCGTCGCCAACTTTTCCGCCGTCCTATTCAGACATAATTGTAAATAGTTTAATTTATGTCATCATAAATATAGAGATTTATTACTCACTTTATTTAAATTATATGCGATATCACCTAAAAATACAATGAATACATAGATGATTTATTCCGAGTCTCAGTACAAAATGACTTCACAAAAAAGTGACAATAAATGGGTACAAACCGACGTGAAAGATGGTATCGTAGAGTCCTTTCTTAACATCTTTTTTCAACTGAGGAGTCGATACACCATTTTCGAGACCCAGATCACCGTAAACGGCAACACTTAACGGCGTGTCCGAGTCGTTGCCGAGGGCTTTGAATTTGAATACATCGGACCAGTTGTCGTCTGTCTGACACTTATACTCTGATATAACATAGAAATTAATAATTGATTGTTTGCTATATTAAGTGAAACTCATACCATAAGTGACACCGGCCTGTAGGCCAGTTAACTTAACCCGATGTATGTACGCCTCGTATTTCATGGTATCGTCTTTCATGTCTTTAAAATGAGTCACATCTGCGTTCACATCAAATGCCGGTCCACCCAATCGGTTGTATCGCACTATAGATCGGTCCGCTTTCTTGAACGTCGTGTACGTCACCATCATTTCACTCGGATTTCCTGTTTTATAATTTAATACAAAATTAAACAATATATTTAATAAAATACAATAAATCCTATACCTCCCAGTGACAAATGGATTTGTTCGGGCACCGGGTCACTGGCTAGTATTAGGCTTATATTAATAGCCACAAAAGAAATATTGATTAGAGTATTCATTGTTAAACAATTTATTTAAAGCTTTGCAACTTTGAAATAATAATTCAATTTTGTCTTAACACTGAATTTTATACAATTTTTTTTGTTTAGTCAATTCCTCTTAAGTGAAGAGTCTTAACGTATGCATCCTTTTCATTACTATCGAAGTGTTATCGTATTCATTAGATAAGAGATTATATAAATTATTATCACATGTTTGTCTAAAATAATTGTTACTTAATGAGAATGACTGCTTCCATACACTCAAAAGACATTTATTACAATTTAAATTTAATTACCATTATATTATCAAATTTTGTTTAAATTTTATAATTAGTAAATATTTAACTAAACCCTTTTCATTCATTGTATTTAATTATTAATGTAGATGATTATATAGGTATTTAAAAAGTATTATAGAAATTTTAAAAATTGTGTAAATATAGATTTAGCATGTTTACAAATTATGTAAGATCTGATTTTAATCTTATCTCAACCTCAATCTAATACAATTATTTGTTAAAGTAATTTCATTAAATTTTAGTTTCATTATAAAAATTAGTAATTCATTGTATTTTAGCCATAAAAATTTAGTAGTATAAAGCTTTCAGCAAATTGATTTTCGAGCATAGGCTCAGGGTATTAATAAAACCGTGCGCAATTTGTGCTTGAAGTCATTGGTGACATTGCACAGTGTTTTGTAACCAATTGATAATCTACTGTTTCTTACTAAAGGTGATTTTAACATCATATTTACTAAGCATACAATGTAAAATAAGTATGGTGAATTTAACACGTTTAAATTATTAAAAATTAATTCTTAACAATTATATCATGAAATTAGGTTATATGAAATTAATAATGATTTAAATGTTCAATTGATGTTTATATTTTGTACATTCTTAGCTTGCATAATCTTATATTTTATATTATTAAATGTGAAAAATGTTAAACAGTGTTAACTGTATGTATACTAAAAAACAATTGAAATGTGATTTTCATGTGACAGATGTGTGGTCTGAGGGAGTGTTCAGGTATGCCCACAGCTCTCCAGATAATTGTCATGAATTTCTGATCCAAATCTGTTATTACTAATAATTATTAGATAACCATTAGATTATCTATAAGTTTTTGCACTTTATCGCAGTTTAATACAATCAATTTCAATTAAATACATTAAAACACATTTAATAACAGCGATTAGGATAATAAATGAATTGCTTTGCGATAAATAATATACATTGATATGTCTATTATTGGCAAATTAGTGCAAATACAACACAAATATAGCCAATAAAAGGTGTGGTTAAGGGATAATTGTCGTCAAAGATCGAGTCGTGACCGGTTCCCATCAAAAAGATGTCCGAAAAACAACATATCCTATCTATTCTTAACTTTTTATAATTTATTTTTTGATTATTTTAATCATTTTTGTTACTAATATGAAATACAAAATAAGTTAAATATTTAGTTGTATTATAATATTATATTAAAAGTTATAAAAATGGGTACATTTATGTCGAGTGCAGCGTTTGTATGCTTGAACTCAATGCATAGTAATCTGTGTTTTAAATTAGTATTGATTTATTAGTTTTAAAACTCTGATGGGATTGGGAATAAGGATAGGATTGATAATCGGTTCAGTCTATAGTTTTGTCTTAACTGAAAGTAATAACATTTCAATACATTTTGAGTAATGTTTTATCTCGCATAAAATCAATTACATAACTAAAAGCACTCCTGCTTATTAATCTAATTAAAATTTGTTAAATCAATTTTAAATTGACTTTTCGAGTAAAATGTTTTTAAAATATTTATATAATTTTAGTGTAAATTTTGGGTCACTTTTTCTATTGAAAATTACACACAAAAACTTAATTCATAAATTTATAAACAATTATTATTTATTATCTTATTTGTCACACATTTTTAATGTAATAATGTATATAATTTTATTTAATATCCATTTAATTTTAAAATTTAATTAGGAATTTTTGAGTTATTTTGTTAAAGTAGATAATTACATCAGATAATAATCATTAAAGTATTTTATCTAAAATAATGTTTTACTTACGATGTCGTAGATTTGTCTAAAATGGTATATGCCGTTTACTATACGGTTATTATTATAAAATTTACATTATTTTCTCCAATAACACTTGTTATATTTAATAATTTATTATTTATATTTGTAATGTAATTTTATAGTTATACAAAAGCAATTTCTTAATTACAAGATATTAATTAGATTTTAACATTTCTAAGATTTTAACATAAAAGGAAACATTTTGTGAAACTAATTGTAATATAATATAATTGGAAACGAATCACTTAATTATAGCTTATAACCTATTCTTATAAGTTCTACTTAAATTACCCCTAAAAGAATAAATTTCATTTTTACCAAGATATTTAATAAGGATTATCATAGAATTGTTACTTAGAAGTGATAAATGTAGGAATATTTTCCAGAATACCGAGATATGTAAATTTGGTTAAAGTGGAATAAAGGATACTTAACCAGGTTCACTATTTGCTTTTTTGTACACAAAAAATATATTTGAATAAACTCTTTGTATACTAATAATTTACTTTACAAAATGACATGGCATAATTAAATGAAATTTGGGTAAGCCTAAAACCATTTAAAGCTTTTTGCTATGTGGCGTTTACTGTATATGAAATATTTATTAAATTTCTATCATACTTTTATAATGAATAAGTTTAATAAAAGTATGATAAAAGTTTAATAAATATTTTATATACAGTAAACGCTACATAGCAAAAAGCTTTAAATGGTTTTAGGCTTACCCATTTAAATTCATGATATGCGATATATATCGATATTTATTGCAAAAGCCCTCCATTACCTTGACCCTCATTTCTCTCAGACTTTTAGAGATAATAGTCTTACAAATTATTATTAAATGTGTTGTTTGTTGTGTGTTATTGAATTATTTAAAATATGCATAAAGTCTATCAATAAATCATTTGACTCAAAAAAATCATATTCTATTGGTAAGAAATTTAAAGAAAATTTTTTAAAACATTTATTATCCATTTGTTTATCCTAATATAACTTAATCATGTTAATCATATAATCATAAATAAAATTAGTTTAAATAGCGAGCCATCAGAGTGTGAGCAAACATATCAGCCACGGATCGTGTGGTGGAGTGTCTTCAAGATATCTGTCGTNATCAAAAACTAATATAAGTTTGATTTTAATCTATAAAATGTATGTTGTCTATCGCTTACTTATATACCCCGGGACTAAATAATTTTGCAATACTAGGCCACGATTTTAGTATTATTTCTACACATCTTTAAATCATTCACTTTACTTTCAACAACTATCACTCTCTCTCTCTCTCTCTCTCCAATTTTAATGTAATTTTTTTGTTTATAATTTTAAGCATTTTTCTTATTTACACTCTATTAATGTTCGGGAATTTTATGTTTTATTTATCGAAACATAAAAGCAATTTTTAATTTTTAATATTTTGCTGTGTTAATTTAACTATTTAATTATTTTAAAAAAGTAAAAAGTTTATGTAAAACATTTTTTGAAAGTTGTTTACCAAAATTATAATGTTATTAACAATAATTATAATAATAGTTGTATATTTCATAAAAATATTAAACTTAAAGTTTAAATTCTTATTTGAATAATTGAGTTATTGAATATTATTTGCAAAATAAGGTGTTCCCCTAATAATAACTAATATGTAAAATATTTTTAAAAAATTAAATTTTTATTTAACTAGAAAAATTAATGGACTTTATGATTTGCATCTATCTGAATTAAATTAAAATGTAAAATAGTGTTTGCAAATTCACTTTTGATCCAATCATTGGTTTAAAATATCCATGTTAATGTCAATAAAATAGTAATGGTTTAGCTACAAGTTCAAACGTTTTAATTCTCAGTTCCTAAAGTAGTTTATCATTTAAATATTAAAAGTTTACACTAATTGTAAATTTCAAAAGTAAAATTCTAAGTTTACATTATTTAAGTAATAAAACTTTGCTTGTTTGCATTCATATTTTATATGTGCCTATGTATTGTAAACATTATAATATTATTGTGTTATTATAAAATATATTTATATTAATGAATACACGAATTTTTAATAATAATAAAATAATGTACGTCAACAACTTAAATAATTTTATATAATGTATTAATAGTAATGTGCAAAATGGCAATGTTGTCGCACAGTTTAATGAATTATTTAATTGTGTAAATAAATTAATGGATGAGGACTTTCCACCAGTGCTATCGCTATTACATTATTAATGAATTCCTAAATGTGAATATAGCCCATAAAAAAATGTTATTGAATTTTGATTATCCACATTATGAAATTACTGTTAGTGTTACTCAAAGTGTAAAAGTAAATTAAATTTGTATTCACCAAACAAATCACGTTTAGGCATTATATGCCAGGTTAACGAATCTGTAGTGTGTGCCAAAGTCACTAGTTACTAGGAGGTATCATACAGTAAGGTATTAAACGCACGTTTCAATTGATATGAACATCAAATGGGATAAATATGTAAAATAACTTCAAATTCAAATTAGTGACGATAACTAGCAACATGTGATCTGTAAGATATTCTCATTACAAATATTTTAATTAATAATAATTTAAGTAACATTGACTTTGATAGTACGATACCTTGAGCCATTGGAAATTCAACTAGTTAAAAGCAAATATTTTATGTGTACATATAATTAGGATACCCTGCTCTATTTAAAGTATTACAAATACAATTTCCAATGTGATGAAAGGAATAGCCTAATCAATGATTAGTAATCATATAAACTTAATTTTTATAATTTTTAAAATAAAAGTTTTATTTATCAAAGTCACTGTTAATTAAAAAAAAATTAATGCAATGTGTGTTCAAAATTAAAGACTATTTTGTGGTCACGAAGACTGCATTGAATACACGGTTTGTATTACTTTTAGCATTGATTCGCGTGAAAGACATCTGTGTTGTGAAAAACATTTCCAATTAACTGAAGTGAATGACAATTTATATTTAAATTGTAACTAAAATTGTTTTGATGTAATGAAACGATAAAGATGACTTCAGTAAACAACCTAGATTATTTGTTTGCGCTATACCATATAAACTACATGTATATGGTTAGCGTGAGCTTATTTGCCATATATTTATCTCATCTCATCTATAAATTATTGACTTTCGATGAAATAGTTGTGGTATTTATTACAAATAAATCAATACATTGTTCACGTTTTCTAAGAATTATCTTCTTTTTATGGACCACTTCCTCAGGACTTAAGTGACACCAAATGGAATAACAAAAACTTTCACTTCAAGAAGCTGTACAAACGGGAGGAACTGCCGCCCCATTACCCCAACGGCTGGTTCTCTGTACTGGAGTCCAGGGATTTGAGAGTCAATCAAATCAAACCCATCTCTGCATTTGGTGTGGATTTAGTGGTTTACAGGGAACTGACGGGTAAAGTGCATGTCTTAGATGCCTATTGTCCACATTTGGGGGCAAACTTAGGCATCGGTGGCCGAGTTGTAGGTGATTCAGTCCGTTGTCCATTCCATGGCTGGACTTTTAATGGCAAAGGTGTTTGCACTCAAGTGCCCGGATTAGAGTGTATGTCATCTCATGTTATGCTCAATAATCAATGTATTCAACAGTTGTTTGTTTTGCATCTCACAAAAGGCTCAAATCTACCGAAAGTACAAATAAAAGTGTGGGAATGTGTCGAAGAGAATGGCTTTATATTTGTTTGGCATCACTCCGACCAACAGAAACCCGACTGGTTTCCCATACCTATACCAGAAGTACGCGATTCAAAACTTGTCTACAGGGGAAGGGCTGAACATATTGTCAAATGTCATCTCCAGGTATTCCTTACTTTTGTCTTTTTCCATAGAAAACATATTTTTCGAAATCAAAGTCAAAAACCAAATGCTTTCTCAACTCATAATTAGTTTTGTTGCAGAGAATTATCGATTTATTTTTATATCATTATCTCTTTTAATAAATCCATTATTATTTGTCAATATAAATGCACATTATTTCCGAATAATTAGATTTTTATTCAGTCCGTTGTCCATTCCATGGCTGGACTTTTAATGGCAAAGGTGTTTGCACTCAAGTGCCCGGATTAGAGTGTATGTCATCTCATGTTATGCTCAATAATCAATGTATTCAACAGTTGTTTGTACAGGCTCAAATCTACCGAAAGTACAAATAAAAGTGTGGGAATGTGTCGAAGAGAATGGCTTTATATTTGTTTGGCATCACTCCGACCAACAGAAACCTGACTGGTTTCCCATACCTATACCAGAAGTACGCGATTCAAAACTGGTCTACAGGGGAAGGGCTGAACATATTGTCAAATGTCATCTCCAGGTATTCCTTACTTTTGTCTTTTTCCATAGAAAACATATTTTTCGAAATCAAAATCAAAAACCAAATTGAAAGAGTTGAGTATTAATCAAAACAACGTCTCTTAATAGCTAAATAAAAATATAGTAATAGAGAAAATTATTTAGGTAATAATAAACAGTTATATTTACGTGTAATAAAGGCTTATTAATCTAAAAAGATATTTTCTGTCTCTATCTATCTATCTATATCTAATTCAATAGTGTTTTGTCTCTTAAGGTCTGAACAAAGTTAATGTAAAATAAAGGCTAAAAATATTACTTTTCTATTGATATTTGCCGTCTGTATTGGTTTAGGAAATCCCTGAAAATGGTGCCGACGTTATGCATTTGAATGAATTACATGAGGGCCCGGAGTTCTTGGGGACAGTTGTCAATCGCTCCAAGTTTTACCAGTTTTTCATTAAGTTTTTGCGCTACGACTGGAGGGCCAATTGGCAGCCCTGTCCGGCACCCGACAAACACATCGCTCATTTAGACCTGCGATCCGTGTATTCACTGTTTGGCTTCCCGTTAATGCCATTCAGTTTGGATGTCCTACAGATAGGGCCGGCGAACGTGCACTTGAAGATCAACATAAAATTCTTGGGCGAAATCAATGGTTATATTATCCAAACGATTACACCGTTAGCGCCGCTCAAGAATAAGATTGTCCACCACTTCTACACTGAGCCCACGTTTAAAGCGTTGATTTTCTCGAAGTTTATGATTTATGGAGAGGCCAGGATGGTAGGGCCACCATATATTTGTGTCCATTTGGATTTGTTCACTATTTATTAATTGGTTTTGTTTGTTTGTGGACTCTCAGGTGGAACGGGATATCGTAATCTGGAATAATAAGAAATTTCTAAAACAGCCCTATTTTGCCAAACATGAGACACCGTTAGTGAAGTTTAGGCGTTGGTTCAGTCAGTTTTATACCGAAAAGTACCCCAAAGAGGAGGACTGGTAGCACACCATGAGTAGTTGTGTAGCAGTATAAATGGAGTGTTCTGACAAACTATAAACGTAACAAAAAATGTTTAGTAAAAAATACATTGAATATGAGAGTTAATCGGTTACTGAATAAAGGGATTCCTTACCGTAAATTTATCTTGGTTAGTTTATCATTTGTTTTTTACTTTTTCTCCTTATGCTTTAGACAAACTTTCATTTACTTCACAATTATTCACAATTTAAGCACATTATATTTAATAATTTGAATTACCCTAGATTTAGTTCACATTTTATATGAATTGAATTATCAAATTGAATAAACTTTGAAATCTTATTAATTATTGCAGCATACACAGTAAATAATTTATAATGTTATTGAAAACTGTTAATATTTTTATGAAATTTGTTTTCTGTTTCATGAATCTAAAAAATAAGTAATACGATACTTGTAATACAAAGAATTCTATTTATTTAAATATTTACTTTTATAAAATACTTATAACATTTGTTTTTATAGAAAATAAAAGTTTATAACAGAATTAAGAATATAAATTTTAAAAAGTTAATATTTGTATTGTCTGTTAACTGAATAAACAACTGTTTTTGCTATATACTGAACTCGCCTACAATTCTGTGGATCAATAAATACAAACGTTTCCATAGAAATTGGTGATCAATACTTCCAGACCAGACATTTCTCGCATACAGCAACTGATCTCATAGTANAAACGTTTCCATAGAAATTGGTGATCAATACTTCCAGACCAGACATTTCTCGCATACAGCAACTGATCTCATAGTACGCTGTGTTTACAATCATGTGTAACCATTTACACTCAACTTAAATCAAACAAACACTAAAATGTGGCTAAAATATATACACAATGAGGCTAAGGAATTCCTATTCAATTCTCCAGAATATTACTTAATCTTAATTATTTGTGGATTAATAAGAAAGCAATTTTTCAATATTTTTATTGTATAATTATGTCATAATGTATAATTGTGACCAAATAATAATGTTGCTTTTATTAATATTAAATGTGTCACATTAATTGGATAATAAAATAAATAAAATGTGATACTATTCACGTTTTCACTCACTTCTCACATTAATTGTAAGTCTTCATATTTAACTGTACTTTGCATTCATATAACTTATTACATGTTTATTTCTAGAAGATTCTTGCAAATATGGTTTTTGTAAAATTAAATTTTTTATTTATAAAATTAAAGATATGTCTGAAGCGATGCCTCCATTCAATAAAAACACAAAGGACTTCCAGCGGAGTGGTAGCCAAACGATGACAACGAATGGTCGCAACGGTATTGCGAATGGGAATGGAGTGACAAATAAAAACAAAATTAGTTTAAATAGCGAGCCATTAGAGTGTGACCAAACATATCAGCCACGGATCGTGTGGTGGAGTGTCTTCAAGATATCTGTCGTGCATTTAATAGCACTCTATGGGGTCTGGTGTGCCATTACTTCAGCCAAATACGAGACCGTCATTTGGATGTTCA